GAATCTCGTACTGGCTCCCGATCGTTTTGGGTCGAACTTATGTTTGAGAAATTCACACTGTGTTCTACGTTTATCATCTTGTAGACGCCCCTATCACGCGCAGAAGATGGTTCTACGCCATTCTTATATCCTTCTTTTTTAGATCTGAACTCGTTCTTTGTGTCAAGTTCGGAGATGTTATTTTCTTCATAGTCCTCTTCGTAATTTTGTGAAAGCGTGTCTTCGTCCGAAATATTTGCCTTTAAAAGGTTCTGCCCTTCATAATAAATACCAGTTGAGCTTCTCGGTCGAATCGACGGTCTCTCATGTATTGAATTAGATGGGCTACTTTCTACGTTAATAAAATTAACGTGTCCATCATGTGACATGTTTTCAACCGATTCTTTGTAACCTAAAGTGGATTCTTGTTCATTTTTTTCCCGTAAAGGGCTGTGGTTTGGTACAGAACTGTTAGGATGATCCATTTCCCAGTTTTCAGACTGGTAGAAGTCTTTTTCTTGCATAGAAGAAGGCCCTTGTCTCTCATCGAACCCTTCGCTCGTATCGATTGTTTCGTTCATTGCTCCAGGTTCGGAAATCTCGATTTTGCTGTTGTCCATTTCATCCGATGTGGAAGATGAGTCGTTATCAGTAATCGTTCTCTTCAAAAGGTTCTGCCCTTGAAAATATATACCAGTTGGATTTCTCATGCGCAATGTCAATTCTTCTTCCTCCACTTCTGTTTCAGGAGTGACATTCTTAAAACCAACGTGACTATCCTCAATTTGAGTATTTTTAAATGATGCCAAAGCAGTTTTCCTGATAGTTTTCGACATTAAGGCGTCACTCTCCATTACTGTACTCTCGGGATGGCTCAATACAGAACGACCATTTTCATTGCTTAAAGTTTTCTTCCTCCTGATTCTATTTGCGTAAAATGATTCTTCATCGTTTGGTGGATTCGCTTGGTAGCGACGATCACTCACCTCTGGATGGTTCAACGCTTCGTCATCCGAACCTCGAACTGATTTTTGCCGCTCGTGTTGCTTCCGCAACTTTTTTTTATTACTTTCTTCTACGTGTTTGATTTTTTCTGCATCAGGATGAGATTCTTGCTCTTCATCTTTTTCCTCATTATTTTGCACGTCTTCTTTAGTTAATATGGGTTTTTTGCTTTTTTGATTGCTTTCCAACATTTCGTTCGCCAACCTCTGAAGACGATCTGCTGTCTCTTTCTGATAGCTACTGTCAGAATCGTCACTACATTGACTTCCATCTCTTCTTTTTGTGCGAATAATAATCACTCGATCCGTTCTTACGTTTTTATCTTCGTTGTCCAATCTGTCCTGAAAGCGGCTTGCCATGCAGGGACAATCGTTTCTTAATTCTAGCTTCATCTTAGAAAGACATTCTTTAATTTCAAACAATGTGTTGGCATCGTATAGTTTTGATTTGAATTTATTCGGTTCATTTAGTTGTTTCTTTTTGTCTGTCAAATCGGTATTAATTACGTTCGATTCAACGGAATGAACTGAAGCCATTGACTGCATATATTGAGAGATTTTTGGTTGTATTTTGTGACCCCCATCATCTAATTGCTCCATCTTGCGAAAAGTAAATTGAGAATCTTTAGTCAATACATTTTCGTTAGACACTAAAGAGTCATATCGAACTCCTTTTTGGCTGATCGAGTCTAAAAATTTTGGACCAATTCGGTCGAGCCCAACGTCAACGTGGATGTCGTTCGGCAAAGAAGCAATTTTCGTCTTTGTAGTGTGTGTTTCAATTTTGTTTCCAGGAGTACCTGGAATGTCAAAAACTACCTTAACGTGAGGAATTGACGTTAAACATTCTATTTTGTTCCCTTCCATAATGCATTTGTCTGTTTGAACCTCAGCTGTGTATTTGGGTTCTTCAGGCGAACCCGAATCACTTGGGTGGAACTTTTCAAGAATGGGGTGAAGACTTTCCTGAACCATTGAGGGACTCAGTTTCCGTACTTCTGAATTATGATGTGGTTTTGCATGTTCTTCGAAACTTATGTTTGCGTCTTTCCTTCTGTGATCCTGTTTATTCGCAATATCATCTTTATTGCTGTGAGCTGCCGGAGCGCTAGGATGCACAAAAGAAGATTCGGCTGGGGTGTTCGGCACAAGAAAGCTAGATTTCATAATGCCACTGTCTATAGACCTACCCTTTGTAATTTTCTTTGGTTTATCCAAAGGTTTTGGGATTTTTACTCCAAGTTTAATCGGTTTTTTCTTTTGACTTTTTGAATTCTCCATCCCCGGGCTTTTACTGTTGATCTTTTGGAATGGTTCCGTTTTAGCGGTTTTTACCTCTCTCGGGTCTTCTTCGATATCCTTTACCGCGATGGCAGCTTCATTGCCTGAATTGTAGGTAAATACCCTATTCTTCCCAGAAACGACTTGTTCCACTGTAACTTTCATATCTCCTTTGTCACTGAACATTATATCGTAACCTGAATCATCAGGTCTTGAAACGCCTATTCTGATATTCGAAGGTCCCTCTTTTTCCGACAAAATTTTTTTATTACTGTTGTCTGCGTTAACATCCTGTTTTACTTTAGTTTTAAATGTTGATTTAGACGTGGAAGGAAGCTCACCATCGTCACTTTCTATTGAAGTTTTTTTACGTCTACTAGAATTCTTCTTTGCCAGCTTTTTAATCGTATTCGCGTCCTTTTCAATAATCTTAATTGAACTTCTTTTCCTTATTGGCAAATTTTCAATTAAGGAAATTCGTGACAACCTTACTACAGGTGGTTTATTTTTCCCAAAGATCATGTTATTACTGACTTTTTCCGATTGTTTCCAATTTTCCATTATGGGAGGAAGTTCTTCCGTACTTTCGATAGGTAACAAACTCACTCGGCTGCTCCTCCTCGCCATATGATTTTTTACCGTTTTTGGTCCTTTTTTAACAAGCTTTTTCCCCGCTCCTGCGGGTTTGGTCGAATTTATTTTCTGCGAAGCGGGTGAGTTTGGTTTAGCTGAAGGCGCCCGTTTTTTCGCATTGCCCTTTTTTGAAATTACCTTTTTTACTGCGGGTTTTTTCACAGGTCCCATTTTCTTATTATTTTTTCCCGACAATTTTAATTTATTTTTAGGTTTGACCTTTTTTTCTGGTCCTATATCATTTTTACTGTTGTCTAATTTCTTTAGCGGTTGGTTAGATAGAGGTAAATGATTTGAAGAAGTTGGTGGGCATAGTCCAAAATTGTTACTCCACGACTGTACACATGTGCATCCAAACCCTTTGTTAATAGTTGGCATTGATGTTTGGGGATCATCTCTGCCGTAGTTGTATCGTTTCGTTATCACGTATTCTTCAGTACCGAATGGAACTGGCGGCTGGCTCGGTCCCGCTTGACCGGCCTGTTCGATAGGGGGACCATACAGTTCCCTTCTGTAAATCATTCCTTTAACGAATGCCACGTTTAGACTGTCAGGACCGATAATATCCGAAGCCGGATTCGTCGAACAGGCTTTGTCTAAAAGGTCGTACCGATTAATCATTTTAGTATTGCTATTTTGAAACCAGCTTTCCACAATATCTTTATTAGCCGTCCCGCCGACTTCGTCGTCCGTAACAAACCTTTGATTATTTTCCATGTAATTCAATATTTCTTCACTAAGTGTGAGAGTAAGACATTCTGTAAAGGGATGTTGATAGACGCTGAAATTTTCACCAATCAAATAACAAAATTCGTCGTCAAGATTAAACTGGTTGGGTGCGTCGATATCAATGTCTGACAAATCATTATCACAACTGTACGGCACTGAGTCTGTACGTTCTGTAGCATCCCCGTCGTAAGTCAAAACGGTTCGATGATTCTTTCTACGAGAGGGTTCAGAAATTTGAATGCTTTGACTATTTGTTTTATTCGCTGCAATGATATTAGTACAACTCTTAGAGCCGCATTGTTTTTCAGGTTGCTCTTTTAAATAATTTATTATTTCATCTCCATATACCGTTTCGTAGTATAGGTGTTCACAAACTTTACGGTTACCGGTTTTATTATCTTTTATACGGTATACAGGAGTTATGCTATTGTCTTTCAGTTGGACAGGGCTTTTACTGAAACTGCCATCATTCTTATGGGCTTTTTCGTTCTCTCTTTCGAAAGGTTTATCAGGAATATTTTGCTTAAAAACACGCTTAACTTTTGTGAAGACATTTTTAATAGTCTTTTTGGCGTTTTTATCTAAAATGGTTTGATTATTTTTCAGCACACTTTTCTTAGAACCCATCAGTATATTTTTTAATATTTCGACATGTAGACGTGAATATTAAAATGGCCCATTGCTGCTTTATTGAAACAGTTGATTCGATTTCGAACAAATGATTTATTTCAATTAAGCGCAGCATTTCTCACACGTTATCATTTGTTATTCACCTTTTCAGAACGGTACGAAATTCCTAGGCCATTTTTTGCATTGTACACGTCCGGCGCTCTCTCCTTTCGCCACCTACTGGGAATACAATCGACGAGAAGATTTGATTACTTGCTTTGCGATGGCAAACTGGAGTTTCTTTCTCGACGCAAAGCCACTCGTCCGAAAAGCGTCGGGTTCAGTGTTTTCCGAAACTGTCCATTTTCTTTTTGTATGTGTGGCAACTGAAATTGAAGAAAGAAAAGAAAAAAAATCGTTTCATAAAATAAAACACTTGCCTTCCGCTTTTGCGACAAAGGAGCCGGGATTTCGGATTCATTCAGCTAAGGCCTCAACCCGGAGCAAATCCGNAGCTCAAGTGGTAGAGCAGCGGCGTATCAAGCCGAAGATCGTGGGTTCGAATCCTGCTCGTGCCATTGACTTTTTTATCTCAACTGAAAACCTTAATTAATTGTAAGATATTAATTGGTCAAGCGGACCACTGGTGGCCTAATTGACCAAGTTACTTCTTTCAATTAATTTTTCATTATGTAAGTTTTTAAATATTAGTCAACTTTAACGAAACAATGATGTAATATTACATAGTAAAAATAAAAAACTTACCTGAGAGAAATGGCTCAAAGCAAGGAATATGCTTGCTATGACGGCAGACTTCATGATGCTTATGATTTGCACAAATTTTAACATGAATTAATTGTTAAAATCCTTACCGGTCCTATTTTATAAAAAAGGTTACACTTCCGGAAAGACAGTCGGAAGTAGTGCGGATGATAATTCCATCCGGTTGAGTCGTGCGAAATTTTACAATAAAGGGAAAACCTTGGGTCATACAACAAAAATGAAGCGGTTTTTTTTAATTGTTAAAATGACAAGCCTGTCGGCGTGAGAATCGGATATATTAACTCCATTGCATAGCAATTTGAACAAAAACTGTCTGACTGCGACTAAAAAAATAGTTTTGTTGAATCTTACCAAAGATACTAGTGTTTTTAAAATTTAATTGACAAATATCAGACAAAATTTTTAGCAGTGTTGAGGTTTTTGTTGTCCATTTTTTATTTTTAATCAAGCACACCAAATTAAAACAATTACTTCATATTTATATGCTTAATAGAACATAACAAATATATGGCTATACTGAACATTCTTCCTAGCATTAAGCTATTACCAACATGCAACTCATGAATATTTTAAGATTTTTTTTAAATTGCAAAATTATGAATGCTGTAGTACTGGTCAAAATCGGATTCATCAAATACCTCCTCACAAAGTTTGAGTAATTTTTATAGGTAAAATTTCAGTGAAAAATGAGCACAAAAACTCACTTAAAATATAAATTTAAATATACTGAGCAATACGTTATCCTGACAAATCTTTTCTCCTTTCTCGATTATAATTAATCATCCCACTGCCAAATTGTAGTAGAAAACAGGCTCAAAGAAAATAATTCACCCACGACCCTTTTATGACTCAAATTATTCAAAAAATTACGAGTTGAGATGGTCATATGCAAATTGTATTGGATATTTTCTTGCTGGGATCGAATATTTTTGTCTTTCTCCTCGATTAAGATTCATTATGTACCTTGTTCCAAATTTAAGCTTATTTTACAGACAAAATCCAACCAATTTCTGTTCAAACCTGGCAGAAAAAACGCTTTAACTCACATCACCCAAGTATAAAAACTTTTGACGGTCATAAAGAATTGTACTGGACATTTTGCCTTGCTGCGATAAAATATTTTTGTATCTTTTTCCACCACTAAAATGCATTAAATACCGAGCCCAGAACTTAGGCTTTTTTGCGGAAAAAATGCAGCAGTTTTTATAGTTCAAAAGGAACATAACTCACATCACTCAAATATAACAACTTTTGACGGTTATAAAAAATATATTGAACATGTTATCTGAGGGACGTACTGTTTCTTCTTTTTCGATTAAAACTCATTAGGACCCCAATTTTCGAATTTTTGAAATAAAAATACAGAGATTTTTTCTCACTGGCACCATATATTTTTGCCTTTTTCCTTGGATTAAAATTCATCAAGAACCTGCCATGTTGTGACTAATTCTTGCAGGGTGAAATCCAACAAATTTCAGTTCAAAGGGGCCCAAAAAAGAATGTAACGCAAATGAGTCAAAATAAAACGATAAAAGTTTAGAAGATCGTAGAAAATATTTTGAACATTATGCTATCCCAGGAAACAATTGTTTTATCCTTTCGCGATTAAATTCGTCCCCATTCCGAATTGTTTTTAAAGGAAAAAGTTCAAACCATTGCACGACAAAACAGGCACAAAGAAAGCAATTCGATTACAATTATTTTTAACAATTAATTAAGGTTTTCAGTTGAGATAAAAAAGTCAATGGCACGAGCGAGATTCGAACCCACGATCTTCGGCTAGATACGCCGTTGCTCTACCACTTCAGCTACCGTTACCTCGATCCACTCGGACACTAACTGGATGGATCGAGGTCACGATAGCTCAAGTGGTAGAGCAGCAGCGTATCTAGCCGAATATCGTGGGTTCGAATCCCCCTCGTGCCATTGACATTTTTTATCTCAACTGAAAACCTTAATTAATTGTAAGATATTAATTGGTCAAGCGGACCACGAAACTAGTGAATTATTTTTAACTTGAATCACCTGAATAACATGTTTAGACGGTCATACAAATTGTACTGGACATTTTTTTGCCGGGCAAATGTTTTTCCTTTTTTTTCGTTGAATAACACTTGGTCAATACCTTCTCCAAATTTATGATACAAACCAAATCCAACTAATTTTAGGAGCACAAAGAAGCCGCCCATGACTTCTTGCTAGTTCATAATACTCAAAAACTGTCGTACAAACTATATCACTGGGATCTATATCACACATCAGTTTTCACTGGGACAGACTATTTCAGCATTTTCACTACTATTTAGAGTCACTAGTACGACTTATTTTTCACAGGACAAACTTCATAAAATTTCGTTAGACGTCGAAAATATAGTTAAATTTATATTTGACGTAAAATTTTACAATGCAGATATTGAATATAATAATGAGTGGTTTGTAGGTAATTAGAGATTACTTTCGAACATCAGCACTTGCTTTTTTTGCCTAAAAATAAATCATAATTTGTTTCAAATTATTAAAAAAATGTACTGTATAAACATATATATATATGATAAATCGTAGTTATACTTACAAGCTTAGCCTTCTTCTTCGTACAATTCATAATCTGTACGGCCATATCGCATTCATCTAAAGCAGTGGCAGTCATTACTGAAAATAAAAGTTTTTTTGTTTGTTTTTTTGCTGTCTTAAGACTCAAGACTGTCTTAATTGAGGGAACAGATATTACATTCTTTTGCGCATTCATCAGCGATCATGGTAGCCTTCGTTAATTTGGCTGTGTCTCCTTTGTAAGTATTGCGCATCCATTTCTTGACACGTGGAAGGTCAAACTGACCATGCTTGTTCATCTATAAAACCCAAAGAAGTCATTATTGATCACGAAAGATCAACAGTTAATACTTACAATTTTCATTTTCTTCATCACACAGGCCATCATACACTATAAATAAATTGTTTACTTAGTTTTCTTTTTTTGAAATGATTGTGTATTATTATTTGATACCTTTCCTTCTTGAGATTCGGGCATCCTACGGTTCCGTATGAGTTCTACGTCGTCTGTAAAACACAATACATTTAAAAATTATTCTAATTTATCGAAATAGATCTGAAGCTTACTTTTTGTAACGGCGAAATGCGATTTACACTCTAGCACAGCCATTTCTTTGCTGAACGGAACACTCTAGAAACGTGACACCATTCATTAACCATAAAGCTCGTAATATGTCGAAAAGAAAAGATAAATGTTTACAATTGCCCCGATAGTAGCTACTGCCACGTACAAAAAAGCGACCGCTTTGTCCATTCCAATCGAAAATATTGGACGGGTATTCTTGTGAAATTATATATAAAGGCGGCTGGACACAATGTAATCGGTTTTATACCTTTTCAGATGCATATCGCATGCTCTCTGTTACTTCCTAGTCTAATTTGCTGACAGAATTATGCGATGGACCATTCTATAATTTTTAAATTGTGAAAACGTCAACCTACTAAAACGCAGTAATTACTTTTGAAAAAACCTTTTAACTATAATCTATGTAATAATTGTCAATCAAGCAATACGATCTTTTCTATATTATAATTTTCGATTAACAGTTTATTCGGTTGAAAATACAAAGGTTATCAATCTTATTCTACAAACGTCATGCGATCATTGCGTAAAACATCATGTTGTTGCTTAAAACAGGAAATATTCTTTTCTCTATAAAGTGTGCTTATGGTTTATTTTTAGAGTAGAAAAATGAGACAATCGGACCTCGTATCTTCGCTGTACATTTCATATTCTGTTAGTATTTAAGTTGAGATAATCCTTAATAGGTGATACCGCCGTAACATACAAAAATATGTTTAAAATTCTTGATAATTATAAACAAAAAATTAGAACGAGTTGAGTGGAGTTTGGGAAACTTGGACTTTTCTAAACAAGAAGTCAAAAAAGCTCAATATGACGTTCTATAAAAAAAAAACGTTATTATATTCCATTGATAAAATACATGCAGGAAAAAGAGTATTTATTGTTTTCTTTCGTATAGGTGAAACAACAGACATTGATTTAAATTTTCCTTTAAAAAAATATTTACAAAAACTCTAATCCTAAGCTTAGCAATTTAATTTGGCTGCGTCTCCTGCAATTCTTGTCGTCTTTTCAGCTAGGGTTTCAGGGTACAAAGAAGTTCTGCAATAAACGTTAAAGATGAGTCAATTAATTATTCTGCTAATGTGGGCTTCCTTTACCTCTGGGTCCGCATCGTAAACACATTTCGCGAAGTTGAATGCTAGGTCACAATTGTCCTCGCCAGCTGAAAAAAATTAAATATATAAATATATCAATTAAGTATAAAACAATTTTCAGAGAGGTTATTTTTTCATTTTAAATTAGATAATGAGCTTAATTGTTGGGAGACTTTAAATTGCAAAGTCTTATGACAGGATTTAAACCTCAGCCTTCATTTGTTTCCTTGTGCGTTGAGCTTCCTTTCATTGAGGTCAAGTGTATTTCCGACTTTTCTCCCTAGATTTACTACTTATTTTATATTTTTAAGCTATTCTGACCAATTGTCCCAAGTAACGTTTTATTTACTCTCAATAACAACGATGACTGAAAATTTTTCAGTAAGCAAGGTTGTGAGTTTGATCATGTCAGTACTTACCCTAATACTTCAAATAGAAACTTCTTAACTTAAAGGCAGTTAGCAAAACACAAAAATATAAGTTGCTTATTCTAGTAAAGACAAATGATTTTTTTTTCTAATAAGAGAGCAGAATAACCTAAGTTGGGGCTTCCCAAACTATGGTCCCTTGGGCCCTCCGACCCTGATTAGTGGATCCGCGGCGAACTGAGAAAAATTAATAATTTCAAAAATAAACGTAGAATGAATAAATTTAAAAAAAATTAAAAATTAAAATATCAAGTCGCGGTCACTTAAGTCAAGACTTTTTACAATACTACTTAAGTGACGATATGAGAAAACTTCACCATCCCCTGCTTCTCAAGACATAAGTGAGGTGAGAAAGCGCTTTCCTGGTTACAGAAAATACGTTCTGAACTATTATCTCCGTTGATAGACCTCAACGTTAAATTGGCCAAAGTTTTCAGTGATTTTGCAATTATGAGAAACAATGTGTATCGTCGTATTATCAGATATTTTCATGAAAATGAATGAGATTAGTCTTTCTTTGCAAGAGAAGAGTATCACCACTTTTCATGCTAATGACAAAGATAGCGCCTTCAAAAGAAACATCCAGTTTTGGGTTTGATCTGTTGGGATGGAGGTGGAGTATTTTCCTGTGTTAAATGATTTTTTAAAAGAAAACAAACTGGTGCTTGCGAACGACACGCTGATTTATGAAATATGTGAACACTTTTAAAGTTTGGAGATGTCCTTTGAGCACTGCTTCCCAACAGCTCGAGATAAAATCCTGCAAGACCATGAATGAGTGATCCAACCGTTTTCTGTTTCGAAAAAATATCTATCTAAATGTTTTAAACTAAATGTTTTATAGATATTACTTCAGACTCCACCTTGAAATCTACTTTCGAGTTCGATTCTTGCTCCTATTTTTTACTCCGTCTGGAAAACAAAAAATTTCAACCATCGTTGAAAAAGCCAAAAGTTTTCTTCTTCAATTTGCCACAAATTACCTATGCGAATCTGGTTTGTATTTCTGTACAGTAACCAAACTTAAATACCGAAGCTGTCTAGATGCTGAACCGGACATCCCTCTCCAGCTATCAAAAATTAAACTCAACATTTCCCAATTGTACAGGCTAAAACTAACTAATACATTATTCATTAATGTTCAAATTATTACTTTTGAAATTGGCTCGAGTTTTACATGACTATTGATTCCGTTCTGTCCAATTTGATTTTCGTGTTCCGGATTTTGTATATAAAGTTAAGTATGTCAATCAAAAGTTGTTTTCATTGTGATATCCCCTCCGTCATGTAATTAGGAATGGTCTGGCTAATTTATAATTGATTTCACATATACTATAAGTATCTAATTTTAAATACTTGAATGAAAAGGGTCCGCTGGCTAGAAAGTCTGGGAAGCCCTGACTTAAGTATTGACATTCCTCCTCAACATCGTCATCATTCGATATTTCTCCCAAAACCCCGGCTTTTTAACGTAAATGGACATACAATTTTATCGTTAAAGTCGAAACGTTCAATCGTTCGTTCGTAAGTACGCCATAGTTCAAATTTACTGAATAAGTTTTATAACAAAATAAAAACGACCTTATGATCACCTTGACTTTCCCGGCAGACACAAACCGGATGTCAACCTGTCATTAGTTCCTTTAGCCCCACTTCGCTCCAGATTGAAAACAATAATTATTTCCTCATCCGCAAATTGCAGATGTTAATCTAACGAAGCATTCATAAAAGTTAAAGTTATTTTTCAAATTACCTCAGAAATGAAATTCGTTAAATAAAAGATTATAAACCATAATATTAAAATGATTGGGGTGCTATTTGCAATAAATGTGCAGTATTGGTTTAAATAAAATATAAGGAAGTATTTACGTTTAAGTCTTGCATTAAATATCATTTTTCTCGTTAATAAAGAGGGTTCGTTTTCTCGTTACTACCATAATTCTTGGGTGAATGTGTTGTCGCTTGTGGAGATATGTGTGTTACGTTTGTCGCATTGTATGTAAGCGATTTTTTTTTAATGCGCGATGCAAGCTGCATGTCGTGTTATATGTTTATGCTTTAGGCTTTGTTTTCGTTCATGAGAGTTATGAGGTTATATATATACCGTATTGCGTGTGCGTTTTGGTTTCTTAAGATGTGTGTGCGGGTTACATGTGTACGTTTCGTGTTCTGTGTAGTAGCTGTTTTGGGAAAATGTATGTCTGCACGCGATTTGCGCTGTGGTGTGTTGTTTAGATGTGTATGCCACTCGATCAAGATCACACTCTCTCTCTCTCTCTCTCTCTCTCTCTCTCTCTCTCTCTCTCTCTCTCTCNTCACAGATACGTTATATATATATATATATATATATATATACCGTATTGCGTGTGCGTTTTGGTTTCTTAAGATGTGTGTGCGTATATATATATATACAACTTCTAAACTGTTTTTAACTTAAAATTATAATTTAATTATCTACAACTATGTACAAGGAACTTGACGAAAATTGAGACACATCGGCTGGGTAAAGCCATGAAGATGGCGGAACAATCGCCGAAAGCTTGGTGAAACCCAATAGTGATGTTCCTTATTCACCTGTAAAATGACCTCAAGAAGATCCAATACAACATCAGTACTCATACATGTTCTTAACTTCCGATTTGAAGAATCCGTTCTTAATATGTAAGCATTAAAAAAGTAATCATCATACTTGATCCCTCGCAGCTTTCGAATGCAGCCATTATTTTTTTGCTCACGTCCGGTGCTAACATCTTGGTCACCTGGTTCCTGATCATATTTAGGCTTACTTTGTTGTTTTTAACCTAAAAATCGCGTTATTAATCAACTTATGATGAATTTATTTTAACCAAAGTAAGAAAAAAAAATCGGGACTAACAGCCTGCATCATGCCAAGTACGCAGCCCAAATAACACTAGAACAAAAAGTTAATAATTTTCTAAATTTTCGTTCAACCTTGAAACTCTGTAAATTGGATACTTTCGTATCGACCAACTTACTTTCAATTTTCTATCTTCTGCATCAAATTCACCTGTTAACATTTTTGCCAATGCATCTGAAAAATAAATAAATCATGTTGAGAGATTGTGAAAAAATAGTAATTTCTGAACTAGTTCGCTTTTACCTTTACTGACACCAGACTTAGGCAGGCAAACGTTCCTGACTGTCTTCATCGCCTGTTTCATTTGCGCCTGGGTCATGTACTGTTAACAAATAAAACAATGTTATGTTTGTTAGTCTTTTTCACTTTATTAAAATTATTAATTTTGAAGAGCGAGGTATGATGAGTAAGTTCATAAGTCGGACAGTTCATAAAACTTTAAAAAATTGTTTAAAAAATAATGCCTGAGACGTATTCTTGACCTATGTCATGAACGGTATTCCATATTTCAATCCTTTTCACATACACTCTTCATAAAAGAATTTAGAACCTTTAAGAGCCATTGCGCATTATTAATATTTATTATTTTAAATTTTTTTGGGGGGGGGCACGTTAGCTCTTACGCAAATAAATTCATCCTTCCAGATCCAGGCCGGATGTGCAATTAAAATTAGGGAGGTACTAGGGTATTTGATACTATGCTGATGACTAGCCATCCTAGCACACTGCACGCATTCTTTATATTAGAAACCATATAATTTCGCAAGTACGTGAGGTATAATCAATCACAGGAGAATTTTTTTCTCTCGTTTTCATGTTTTCCTGGACCAAAAGTTCCGCTAAATATAGCCTTTCTTTCGTATCAGTCCAGCCGACTTGACAGTCATTGCAGCTTAATCTTTTCAATGGGTTACGCCGCGGGATTTGACTGGGTGCCCCGGTCAAGCGGCGTCGTCGCAGCTTATTTGTCAGCCTCTTAATTTCCTTTTAGGCATTATTGTCATTATGAAATCATTGTAAAATTATTAAACTGTATTATTAATTAATTAGATTTAATTATTAAAATTGAGAATCCTTTGCATTGTTAAGAGGGAATCGTTCTTCAAAGAAATTTGAAACCATCTATTAAAAACTTTAATTATGTCAATTTTTAGACATATTTCAGATTATTTTGCCCAGATGATGACAAAGCTTGGAAAGTAACGTTTGAATTTGTTTTTTTTTCCATCAAGAATTACCGATTGTAAAATTAAAGTGAACATATAAGTGAATATGTATATATTTTAAGCACTGTTGGAGGAGATCGATTCAGGTCGAGATGCAATAGACCTTGTGGCCGCAATATATATCCCTATATTTGGTGTAATCGGGGATTTGGTACAATGAATATTATGGTATTAATAAAAACATATAATTGGTATATAATATATATAATATTATATATAAATAATATAAATGATAAGGATAAATTAGTTTACGAGTGAATGTTTGGAGTCAGAGCTTTATAGCACTCAGAAGAGATATAGCTAACCTNACTGAAGATGGTCTACATGTGATGGAAACCCGTCTGACGAAATAAATGCCTGTGGATAAGACTATTTATTTCCAACCAATCATCTTAAGATATGTTAAGATATTTTTTGTTAAAATATCACATATTCGTTATTAGAGTTGATTCTGCCCTAACGACATATATGTAAGTCCTACTAGGACAAAGTGGCTGACAGTTCCTCATTGAAGATTGTGCAATGTCAAAACGCGTTTGAGTAATTCAACAAACAAGTGACCCAACGCTGGTTCAGTCCAAATTCATTATTCATAATATTTTTTTAAATGTTAAATGTACGTACAAAACGTTTACTGCATTATAATATCAAAAAAGTCGACCTCGTTGCATCAGAAAGAACACGTCAGTTAACAACGACAGATGTTCCAGATCAAATAATTATTTAAACCAATGTGGCGAGAAGTGATAGGTTCAACTGTGCACACAAGTGTGTACAAGCGTATGTATATTTGAACTTACATAAATCAGTAAAAAATTGTTATATTTAAAAAAAAAGTAAAACATACGAATGTTTGTTATAATGATACAAATATAACAATTGTTTCACGTAAAAGATAGGTGTGTTAACTTCTGCCCCCTTATATTTTGTTTATTAGGGCGTTGTTTTCTGTTTTTTTTTGGGGGGGGAGGGAATCCTGGACGCGTAAACTTTATTTTTTCTCTTCTTTCTCATGAAACAAACAAATAGGGACTTAATTATTTCAAATGACAACGTACTCCTCAATATACATTTTTCAAAATGGGCTTTGAGGCTGAATTCTACGGTCTAAACGGTTTTTATTTGAAGCAACCGTTCTCAATTTATTCGCCAAAATTCCTTTGCTTCTTGAAATCACCTCCAACTTCTTCAACCAATCATAAAATTATTTATTTATCATTTCAATTGATAGTAAATAACTTGCTTATGGTATCTAAACAAATAATTTCGCAACAATTTTCTTAAATAACATTGATTAACTGGACGCATTGGATGTAGCTCATTAAAGCGCGATTCAACCTGGTGCTGAAGTTATTTTGCCTATTGGAAATAGTTAAATTCATATCCGCGTCACGTTATGCTGGAGAGTTAGATCAAAACTTTTAAGTTACTGAGAAACTAGACAAATAATAAATGCATACATTGTTGTGAAGTCCACAGGATATCCAAATATAATTAACATTGAAGAGGATTCAAGTCAGTCGAAAATATTCTTTTAAGAAAGAATATTCCGTGTTGCAGTATATTGTTCAACAATCTACAGTACAAGTGATAGTATTATAAAAAGCAAAAAGTTTTAAATATTATTTTTAAAACCATCAGACAGCTTGGCCATTTCAGCTCCGAGCGCATGCGAAATATAACCACACATTCAAAACGCATTCATACAAATAAATACATTCACACCTATTTACATTCTGTTTGGTAGATGGAATACACAATATTCCTCCATCATCCTGCATACAATAACAAACTAATCTAATTGGGGCCGATAGGATACTTTTATAAAAATTCCGCCATCGACCCAAATCACGTACACAGGTCGAGGGGTGATGGGATGCTATTTCACCATCAGCCCCTCCCCATTCACTCTAATAAATACACTCACTCATACAAAACACATATTTTGACGGCTATATACAATAAAAACGTTTCGTATTTAGATGCGAAAACCACATCGTTCCTCGTGTAAGCTGCCTCTTTGAGATTAATGAGCAAACAGCAACCGTGGAGGCCCTCAGAGCAGCGATCGCCCTCGGGCGGGTTTCAACGCAACGCTAAAGATGTGGAAAAGCGTAATGAGGCAGAAAGGATGGCAGACATGTCTGAAAGTACAAATAAAATTAGAGAAATAAGACCTATACCTCTTCCACCTGAATATCCTGAGCGAGCCGGCTCCGCGAGGCCCGTCCCGGATGGAATAAAAAACTGTGACAAAGAGTTCATCAGATGGAGTAGAGATTAGAGTCCAATATTCACAAGAGAGAACATAGCTAATCCAAAAAGTTACCCAGCAGCGGAAGCCAACAAGCTTCAAAGAGCCACATATGGCTTAGGGGCGGCAAAACGAACAAAGGCACAGATGGCTATATATAATAAAAAATTCCCAATTCCCCTAAAAAGCAGAACAGGAAACCCTGAAACTCGCTACGTGTCCGTGAACCATTCTTAAATCCGGCGGCATACCTACACGCTCTCTGTATGGAGCCAAGGCATAACACGCCTCTATTATATGGGATACATCGAGCAACCTTTCTCTGCACAAGTGCCACCTGCGCGGGCTTTATTATTATTAGTTACATTTTTAAACAAATAATATATTTTAGTAAAACGAATGTGAAGTTAATTTAAAAAAAGTAAAATGTTACATAATCTGTTATCGACTTGAAACTGTCTTAGATAAATTTTCATAAATAAACAATTTAGGATTAGAAAAATGGTGGTATAAAATTACACAAACTAATATAACTCTTAGTATCACTTTACCACCCCGACTGCTGGTTCAGTTATAGTTCTTTAGCCGAAGTTCCTACAGAAATTCCTAAGTAATTCCTATTGGCCTGATGGCCCTGGATTGAAAGTGGATGTACGATCAAAGGGTGATGAGCCCCTTAGTGATGAGGGGACAATAAGAATGGCCAAAACGAACACTCTCATAAAACCCTTCGGTTGGGCTGAACAGTTTGGAGTTAGCTTGTATGTCTTAATAGACGGTGTCATCCTTCACTTTTAAAAAGTACAATTGTCGTTGGAAAATTAGCGCAGAAATTTGGTGTCACATATGACAGTAATCGTTTTAAAAGGACCTTGATAATTTTTCCTTCAGATATTTGAATTTTTCTGGAGAATGGGCTTTTTACAAAAGCCTAGAAATTATTTACTGCGATGTTAAGCTAATATGTTCTACATTCAACGTAACAACACAAGTTCATTATCGTAGTATTTATCCAGAATTTGTTTTTCTTGAATGGACACTATTGGTCTTAAGCACTAGTCTACTTTATAGTTTTAAAACTTACGGCTTCGGTATAAGGGACTAGGAGGTAAATCGTAAGCCCCAGAAGCAGTAGGCACCTCCATTGCAGATCCATGTCTAAACTGTCAGCGATGACAGCGAATCCTTTATAGATTACCCTTTGTCCAGGCATTAACTCTTAAACACAGGTATCAAAAAGGACTGCAAGGTCGTGCCCACAACTCCCAAAGCTTGTATACAATTAATTTATCTAATGACCGCCTTCTTTACATTGTTTTTACTCGTACTGAGGAAACATTCATTTTATGTCCTATCCAGAATTACAGAATTTTGCAAATTGATGATTAGAACTTTTTAGTTGAATGTGTACTTTGCCAATTAGGGTGGTAACCCGTGTTGAGAACAACAGGAAATGTGGCTCTATTGTCTAGCTTTTTTAAGCCAATTATTTTCTCTTTCAAGTTTTGATACAAGAAAACAAACGGCAAGCCAAATTTTTAGATAAACGGTTAGTTTTCCCCCATGGAGGATGATGAACCAGTTGTTTCAATTATTTTTACACGAGCACAGTTCTATGGAACAATTTTTCAGGTAAGTTCAAGTTTATTTGACTATCATGTAAATGCAATTCAAACTCAACCAAAGCCTTTTCCGAAAATATATTTGTTTTAAAGTGACAACTGTGAGATAAATCTGTGGCTCAACCAAATTTAATAATGGGAGATAGTCTGTGGTCGATTTAGTGGATTAAGTTAGTAAGAACTGAGTTCAATTTACAATTGAAATTATTGACTTCTAATAAAAACTAAACCGCATTGTACGCAAATATACAATACAAGGAACTGTAGTGTTTATTTAATGATTCAGCTGAAGAAGTGCATTTCTACTAAAGAACCCTTAATATAAAATGGATTTCAAATAGATATGTTTGTAAATGGAGAAGTTTGAAATGTAATTAATTACTTACCGGTTTGCAAATCCCATTTACATAAATCGATTATAGACTGGGTGAATAAATAATTTTAAAAATCATATGTTTGTTAGTTGGTACCTTAGATATTACTGTTCGTAGAATAGAATCGATAGGGATTTTGGGACGAAAATGGAGGGCGAAGAAAGTGAGGAAAAGCATGCGGAAACTAAACTTGAAACGACTTCACTGCCGGATGCAGGAGAAGACCGGCCTTTCAGGTTGGAAATAAGTTACGTCTACACGAGAGTTAGGAAAAATTTCGGACGCCCGTTGCGACTCACTGTAAGTTTAACTATCTAACGTTTTTGTTTATAAAAGGGTGAACATGTCGATATTTCCTCCGGTTTCTGTAGCCCATGGCGCCGAAATTTCTGGTCCAGATGCCCCCGAACGATGAACTGAAGGAGCTGCACATCAGACTGGAACCTGCTCCGATCAGCACGCAGGTCGAACTTCAAATGTCCGCTCACGAGGTGGGTATTTATCAAATTCTATCTTTTCCGTTATATAACGATAATTAGTAACAGGTAGATGCTCAAGCGACTCCTTACACGAGAAGAACACAAAAACACGTCGAGGGAGGCTATCCGATCGAAGTCAACACGGCCGACTTGGACATGGTCGTTAGGTACCAAAAGAAACAGGGAAAAGGAGAAGAGCTCTTCAGAGTCTTACCTATTCTTATAGGAGTAAGCATGTTGAACATGGTCTAAAGCAAATGACAATATTTTAACCCAATAATGTCATTATTAGAGGATGGAAAGGTGCCTGAATCAAAACAATTCCACGGATTTGTATGAACGGTATTTCACACCTCCGCATTTCGAGGAGGAAGCTCCGAATCGTCCTCTGAAAGTGAAAACTGTGTACACGTTTAAAGACCCCATGACGCCTTTTCGGCCCACTGTGGACGTCGCTTGGGAGCCAGGGAGCGAGGTCCGACTAGCTTCGGCACACTGCGTGCTCGATTTCGGTAGAGTCGATTACACGAGAGACACCTACTCCTACGTTTGGAACCTAAGTTAGTTAAAACGAGAATTCTTTATAATTTATGTTGCTGAAACGCTTTATTTTGGTTGACAGTGAATCCGAACAGGCCGGAGTTGGTTCTCGACGCTGGTATGCAGACGTCCTGCCTTGAATTTAACCCAAAAGAAAAGCGGATAATCTGCGGAGGGCTTTGTTCCGGGCAGGTTCTTTTCGGTCTTATTAATTATACACGAAAACTCCATTTTTTATAATGGCAAATTGTTCTATTACAGATGTGCTTCTGGGACACGAGGAAAGGGTCGAAGCCCGTAGCGTTCAGTAACATTTACGAATCATTCCGAGACATACCGACATGTGTTTTATGGATTAATTCTAAAACGGGAACTGAATGTTTCTCATCGGCGAGTGACGGTCAGGTGAAATTTTTAACGATTACAATAACTCTTCGTGAGTGAGTGAACTTAGCGGAACGGTTGAACAGGTGCTTTGGTGGGACACGAGAAGCTTGAAAGAACCCATAGACAAATTGCTTTTGGATCTATCAAAATCAGATGAACAGTTGTTCCCACGAGCCACTGGCATTTCGAAACTCGGATACGAACACACCATGCCAAACAAATTCATGGTAACTAAGACAAAAGCGGTTTAGAAACATTTTACCAAATATTTTCCATCTTTCAGGCAGGCACAGAAAACGGGAGTTTAGTCGTGTTGAACAGGAAGGGTAAAACCCTTAATGAAAAAGTCGGAACGATTTTCAACTGCCACCACACTCCAATCAGAGCTTGCAAAAGGAATCCAGGATATCTGAAAATCTTTATGACTGCTGGTGATTGGAGAGTGAAGATTTGGTCAGAAGATTGCAAAGAGCAAGAAATATTTTCAACTAGGTACGCCAAATCACATTATTTAAATTTAAACCCCAGCTTTCTAACTCTTGAATATTTGTCCAATCCGCATCTTCTTCCTTCGCCCTCTTGTTTGTTATTAATTTCTGTTTTCAAACTTTAAATTCAACCTTGGACTTTCTTATTTGATAGTTTCATTATTTTTATGAATGATACATAATGTAAAATATAATATTAAATAATAGTTTAATGACATCTCTATGGTTTTAAACCGTATGAGGAATCTTGATTTACTTTAAGTTGAGCAGAACTTGAACATTTGGCAACTAATTTGTATTACATTATAATTTATATTTTAACTTACATAATAAACTATCCAAAATAACCAAAAATTGTTTTTTACGTCCATACAAGTTGTGATGATCTCAGTAGATTTTTTTTTAACAATGATAAATAATAACTTAAAGAATATCTCAACGTCATTATAATTAAGAAAAATAAGGGTAAAATCAACAAAAATTTCTCAAACGTCCTTTTGTTTGAAGAGATACTAAAAAAAAAACATTTCTTCTCTAACGATGATGGTGAGTATAGATCTGCAAGTCGGTGTACACATGTTGAACCGACACTGGGTTAGCTATTGGGTCCGTCCACTTGAGTAATTCCAAAAAAGACGGACCAATAAGTAGCCTATGTCCTCTGGGAGCAGGAGTACCTCAGATCTTACTTCCGATCCTTTACCTCCTCTAAACCGTAGCTATCAATAACTTCCTCCGCCACCATGCTTGCATACCTTGCTGTGCTATCTGCTGCTCTGATCCCGATTCCACAATTGCTTCGGAGGAGCAGGCAGGTACATGTCCTCCGAATAGCCGAATGTAGCAAACAATATATTGCGTATAAAGTTTAAACGAATCAAAAGCACCCATATCGTTCACACTTCGAAGCAAATCGAAGTGTGAATATTCCTCAATAATACTCCCATACCAAAAACGGACTACGCAAGACTAACCTGGAACCAACACACATGACTAAACGACAGGGATTAAACAAACATTTCAGAACAACTTTACAGAATGCAATCACACAAATCTAAGGTTTCAACAAAAAACAACCTGGCAATCTACAAGATATTAATAAAACCAATCTGAATGGGCTAGGACTGTGGGGCACTGCTAAACCTTCCAACATCGAACGAATACAGAACTTACAATCCAAAATCCTCAGAACCATAGTCGATGCTCCTTACTACGTCTCCAACATCCTCAAAATCCCTCCCGTGCAAAAACTAATCCCCGAAACATTTTCCACTTTCCATAATCCGATCCTTTTCCAATAGAAACCAACCTTATCATGCTATCAGATGACTGAAAAGGAGATGGCCTTGTGACCTACTAAACGAAAGTTAGTCCTCGCGTATAATTGGGAGAACAACAATGCTTATTAACTACCTCCACATGAACTATGCCATTTATGAAACTAGCTCATTACAAAGCGTATATAAGTTAATCCATATTTGCTTAATGGTCGTAATTTTCCTACATTAATTATTCTTTTTAACTAGGGTTTTTGACTGTGGTGAAAAATTAGTGTCCGAGGGGTTTGGAATCCCAAAAGCTCAAGTGGTTAGAGCAGCGGAGTATTGGGTCGAAGGTTGTGGATTCGCATCCCGCTTGTGACACTAATTGCTCATCTCAGCCAAAAACCTTAAATAAAAAGAATAATTAATTGGAATGTATATAGATTGTAATAAATATATTAAATTTAAATAAATCAAAAAAATAAAAAGTAAGCTGATTTGAGCCTAGCCACTTTACCCTTCTGAAAACCGAAGGCATATAGCGATAAAATGGTATAAGTTTTGCATAAACCATGTACAAATCGGTCACAATTAATTTTTACTCAAATAAGAAGGACTATAAGGGTTAGAAGGGTTAATCATTTCAACGCTTTACCATTTATTTTCATTATCCATCTCATAGAGTTTAGAGTAAAATGTTTACGTAAGTAATCTTTATCTGAAATATAATTAATTATTTATAAGATAGATATTTTTCATTTGACTGAATATCATTTATCAGTTCTTGTCTGTACCTCCCAAGTATACCCTTATATAAGTTATTAAACACTATCAGCCAATCATTCGCATTATCAAAGTTTAAGTCTATATCTGTATTCCCAATTCACTGAGGTCAGTGACCCAGGATAACGCTATTTTATGACCTGTTTTGAAACTTTGGCTATCTGCATTCGACACGTTTACCTTTTATAATATAATTTATTTAACATAACTGACAAGTATTACAAAAATATTATTCTATTTTAGGTATGAAACTACTCAGATTGCTGGTTGTACATGGGCTCCTAATCGAGGGTCTGTCTTTTACGTGGCCAAAAAAGATGCGTCGTTAGACGTGTGGGACCTGTTGTACAAGACAGATGTACCTATGATAACTCATAAAGTAAATGCAGACGTTACTTCTAGTTATTTATATGTGATAGTAATCTTCAAAGTAACTTTAAATTAACAACTTTACCTAATTTTAAAATTTAATATTTGTAAAGATTTGTGTAGAGATTAGTGACCGTTAATCGATAGTTATTCAGATATCGTGAGATGCGGTCGGGTGTGATGTAGGTTTCAGAAAAAACATTTTCTTTATCGTGCCAACGTTTCGATCTTTTATTGAGACCATCTTCAGGGCCTGGGATTTACAAACAATGTTTACATTTAACAAATACATTTAGGATGTGGAAAAGTGAATTTATACAATGCAAAATATATTTTATATTCAAACAAAGTATTTCTTTTTTCACTTGAAAGAAGCCGACGCCTTACACAAAATTGTCTTTTGTATACCGACTTCCTTCCCCACCCCTTCAAAACCAAACATATATAAACATAAAACAGCTAAATCTCACTGGCACTCTCAACACGACATGCAAGGATGGCACAATTACACAGAAGACACACTTTGAGTGAGTAGAAATACTTTGTTTGAATATAAATTCTATTTTGCATTGTATAAATTCTCTTCTCCTAAATGTATTTGTTAAATGTAAACATTGTTTGTAAATCCCAGGCCCTGAAGATGATTTCAATAAAAGATTGAAACGTTGGCACGATAAAGAAAATGTTTTTCTGAAACCTACATCACACCCGACCGCATCTCACGATATCTGAATAACTTTGTAAAGATTTGTGATGATTGTGAGATGTTTGTATTTTACAATTTTTTGTTTAAGATTTGTGTGGGTACGAAAGAAGATTGAAAGAAAAAATTAATCTGTTAGGCTGCTTTGGCTTTTTTCCCTCCTGGAACGATGGCTATGTAGTTATAGCGTGACTAAACAGACCAAAAAGTTCCATTTATGGCGCGTTCTCACGATTCTACTTTTGTTGTTCGGCTTCATTCAGTTTTTGTTCACACGTTTTAATAAAAATTGATCAACTTTTGATTTTGCATTGAATATCCCTTCTTATACATGTTTCCAACCGACCAACAACAGAATTTCGTTTTTCTAATGAACAATTAAGTCAGGCAATTTCAATTTCTTTTACGGTATTACTCAATACGTTTTCTGTTATATGATCAGTACTGATCAAGTCGCGTCGTCATAAGACCGCGGGCTCCGTAAATCATAAATTTCGGGAAAATTCTCTTCAATTTTCAAAAAAGAAGAAATTTAGAATTAAATTCTCGCCACATGGCATCGCTCGGTAATTGCAAAAAGGCAAACGACTTAATTTTGCAATAACAATTTCGGCAGTTCCAAAGATAGTAATGCTTAGGATAAAATTCTACTCATTTTTGCAATAAAGGTTCTTTTTGTCTATTTTATAAACAAAAGTAGAACAACAACACTAATTGTAAAGTTGAATCATCAAAACGCGTCTTTACATGGCCACAGCCAATATCTAGGTTTCTTCAGCTGTAGCAATGTTTTGGTTTTTCTGTTTCAGTTAGGAACTGTGCCTTTCACTTGTCTCAAAGAAAACGAAGATGGGACCCATTTGGCCATCGGCGACGAAAATGGCAACACTAATCTCGTCGAAATGTCTGACCATTTTACAGAAATGGACAAAGCCGATAGGGCACATATCAACGGGGTGAGTTTAGATTAAGAAATTGTTCCAGAAAAAAGGCATGTAACAATCTCTCTAATAATTCTTGCAGTACTTTGACCTGGAAGGACATAGGGAGAAGTTGATCGAGGCGAAGAACAGAGAAGTCAGATTAAGAGCGAGGACTGCTGGCGAGGAAACAGAAAAACCGAAAATGCCGATTATGGAAATGAGAACCAACGCTTTCGTCGAATTTAATCAACGCTTGGAAAAAGTACTCTTTTATCACAATAAAAGCAATAAGTCATTAATTAAAAATATTGTTTTCAGTTTGAAATGGATTTGAATAGTCGCATTGCGAGCAACATGGATATGAGTAGTGTTAACATTCATGAGAAATCGTCGACGATCGGTGATAGATCGATCTCCATCGGTGCCGATAAATCATTTCCATCCACCACGTCTGCATGAAGAGGCGACGATCTCATGAATGGACAGAACAGAAATCCCTTGTCCTATCCCAATAAGAAGTGAAAATAAAACTCTACTCATAAATCGAGGGTTTTCTTCTGTACGGTGATTGCTTTGCCGATTTGATTTAATCTCCTATGGGGCAGTACTAATCCAATTTCTTCAGATCGGCCGTTATTCGGCCGACGCACCTCAGCAAGTTTGCGAAGTCAGCCCGAAAGAGGACTTTCGGCCCTTGGCTTTCTTCCAAAGTCGGTAGATTTCATTACGTGAACACAATTCTAGTTTAGTGCCAAATTGCTTCATTCTGTACGGATTATTGTTGTAAATTATATCAAAAGCTGGGAGTCGGAAAAAGGGGAAAATTAAAGAAATTGACATCTCGAATCAGTTACACCCAGCAATAATTTACATCATGTATGTAACGATATATGTAAACTTTTATTTATAGAAATATATTTAACAAAAAAACATTTTCACATTAGGGCCACAGTAAGTAGGAAATATAATTATCAAAAAGGTGCAAGAAATAATAATTAATAAACAAAATATGAATGATATTAATATAGTTGAATATGAATGAAGGAGAGAAGTAGGTATAAAGGAAAAGTGTAAAAGAGAGAAGAAAAGTGAATAGCAACTCAATAGAATCATGTTAAATCTTGTTAGTTTGATCAAATCATCGATTGTTTGCAAAAAGTTGAAAGATTCATGCCTGAAAACCCGAAGGGGGTACCGAGGAATAATGCCAATGAAGAGAATTCCACAGAAATTCGCCCTGTGACGCAAGCTTTTTATAATATTTAAACTATGGGAAGAATTAAAGTCGAATATAATGAATAAGTATGATGGGCAAAGCTTATTTTTTATTTTAAACAAGTAAATAAGATATCGCAGTTTAAGGTAATCAATATGATATTTCCAAAGTGAATTTCAATTCCCATTCACCCTTCTAGCAACAAAGCCTAAATAAACATGCCAAAATAATCTGGTATTAAAAGTCACACCAAGGTTTTTTACCTGGTTATAGGAGGATATTAAAGAGCCACCAAGAGTAATGCAAGGTAAATCCTCAGTTGGCAGATGTGCATTGTAAATAATTATCAATTGAGATTTGAGTGGGTTAAGTTTAAGACCATTGTTTGAAGCCCAATTTACGAAGATAGAAAGGTCTTTGTTAATTAGGTGAATGGAATCAGGGATTAAATGAGGATGATACTGTCTATAGATTCAGATATTGTCAGCATATATGTGAAATGTGGAGTAATTTAAACAAGAAGGAAGGTCAATAATTAACACTGAACACAATAAGGGACTTAAAATTTCACCTCGGGGAAGGCCAAATTTAACAGAAAGGCCAGATGAGAGTTTGTTATTAGGAAGTTTGACAACTTGTTTATGACCTGACAAATAGCAAGATATTAATTTAGAACTAGAGGACGAAAAATAAACAAATTTTCAAGTTTCCAAATAAATCATTTCATATAATTTTTAATTTACACCTTCTTCATCTAGTCTACATTGAATATAAGAAGCATTTAATGTTAAAATATACATTAAACATAAAATAGTTAGGGGAAAATATACAACAAAAAATCCAGACATATGGAAAACAATAGTTACGTACATGAATTCAATAAATAAATAAGACAATAATATTCAAGTACGTGCTATACAAAACTAACTAAACAGATATGGATTTAACATCTATTTACACTTCTTATCACAGCAATTGGTTAAACCAGGTACATTTAATTAGTAATTACCTAACCTAGGCGAGGCCACCTGCGCTTCAGTCTTCCAAGATGGTTAGAAGGAAGAGTTGGGCTTGACAGTTTGCGATCAATGGGTTGTCAAGAGAGGATAGTTTGGCATGAAATTTATTGTAGTGGGAGGGGGCCAGATTTGGTATGTAGGGTATGTTGAGATCGGAATGATTTAGTTAAGATTGGAACACTTGGCTGACCCGTATATATATATATATATATTTTTTTTTTTTTTTTTTTTTTTTTTTTTTTTTTTTTTTTTTTGCTTGAATGGGATTGGAGGTTGGAAATAAAAGTAACAGAATAGGTGTTTGGAGACTGATTGCCATGTCATCGGAGTATATGAAAGTTAAGGTTTCTGAATGTAATGGGAGATCAGCTTTAAAGAAGGAGTAAAATAAGGGAGCAAGTATATTTCCCTGAGGGATACTGGCTAAAATGGGAAAAATAGAAGAGGAAGAAGTGCCTTGGGTTACTTGAAAGTATAAGTTTGTTAGGAAAGATTGGAGGATAAGGTAATGTGTAAATGGAAAGATGGCCTTTAGCTTCCTCAGAATGCACTCTAGTAGTAGCAATGTGGTAGTTTTGAAGTAATTAAATGGCACTTAAATTAATGTGGTAATTAAAATTAAGTCTGAAATCCAGATACATTCCAAGGATTTTTAGCCCATGCTATTGGCGAGCTATGTATTTTGACATGATGGCAATGTGTTGTCCTTGTAAACAGTATTGCATTACTCTTGTTAACATTAGGCCTGATTCTCCATTTTTCAAATATTTATAATAACTATATCCAGTCATTGATAATTCTCTGAAGATGGAATCAACCCTATAGGAGACTCTTATAAACGCCATATCACCAGCAAAGAGAGCCAGGTCAGCTGTGAGTTTTAGCTTGCAAAGGTCATTGGTAATGATGTTAAATAAGGTTGATGCAAGAATAGACCCTTGAGGAACCTCCAGCTTTTATACTTCATAAAGGTGACCTCAAGCCAATAATTTGTACAAAGAATTTCCTGTTGGTTAGGTAATTACTAATTAAATGTATTAGATCATTAGGAAATTGGTATGACATGAGTTAAAATATGAGACCTATGTGCCAAACAAGTCAAACGTTTTCTCCATGTGAATAAGTACCAATACCGTTTGCTTTTTTTTACATTAAAATTATGGAGCATCTCTGGCCAGCTACATGCAAGTAGAATGCATGGGCCTGAAGCCAAATTGGCATTAGTTACATCATAAAAATGGTTTTAATTAATAGTTTTAATTAATTTCTAAATTAATTAGAATAGTCAAACTAAAATGAACAGTATTAAGAAAACCTGATGGAAAGATAAAACCATTCCTTTGTTTAGTCAACTTACCCAACCTACACTGTCGCATACACTAACAAGACATAGCAGAGAAAACAGAATTCAGATAAATTGCAAGATTTGTATTTCATTTTACCTATTTGTTTAGTTAACGTAAAACATGAAAAAGTGCATTATAGTACAGTTTTGACTTCCTGGGTAACCAGAAAAAATAGGCAGATCAAAATGTTTGGAGACGATCAATCAACTGGTTCATAACCTCATGTCTCACATAAATACCTCAGAAAAAAATCAATATCTCACTGGCACTCTTAACATGACACACAGTAATGACACTACTGCACAAAAACAAACACCTTGAGCCCCGAATATGATCTCAATAAAGATCGAAACGGTGGCACTATAAAGAAAATGTTTTTCTAAACTATGTCACACCAGACCACATCTCACGATCTCCAAATAATCATTAATTAATGGTCACTACATACCACACATTATCATATATTACATGTTAAAATAAACAAAAGCAATATTTTCGATAAAATTAGACAAACTATCAGTCATTTTATTATTTTTATCTTTTATCTTTTTTTATTATTATTTTTATTTTATCATTTTTAAGAGAATAATTTCATCAGGCTTTACAAAAATAATATATATATCGCGGTTTCAAGCTATCTTTGAAATTGTATATGTACTTGTGACAATCAATGAAGCAAACATGAAAATTCAACATTTTATTATTTGTTTTTTGTGAAAATTTTTTCTGCTTCTTATTTTTAATGTTCACTCAGCACCTTTGTTCATCAACCATTGTTTCTTGTTGATGTCTTTCCAGTCTAGGTACATCAAAATTGTACAGAGGATACTCTTCCTTAGGCAGTGATCTTTGACCTCACACAAGCCCTCATACCCAGAGTGGCGGCACCTAATCCATGAATTATTTACTGGTCCATTCTTGTCAAGATTCACTTGGATGAAGATCTAATGACACTGGCAATTTTTCCAATTTTTTTACTTTGAACCATCTTATGCAAAAAAAGACTCCTGAGTAATCAAAGACAAATACTAAAGAAACAAGGTTGATTGTACAATTGATTTATGTTTTGAACATGAATGCACAGAACACAAATTTCATATATTGACAATTTATAGAGAAATGTTCACACAAAATGTAAACACAAAAATATATTATTAGAACATTGCTAAGAAGCATAACTATAATAACAGCATAAAAAGGTCATGGCTTGAATTCTAATTTCACACTAGTCTAAATCATATGGTTATTAGGTTTTGAACAGTTTTTGCTACAATGACACAACCTAGGACAATTTTAATAGTATAAAAGTTTTAAAATAGTTTAATTTTGAGACAAATTCAAATACATAAGGATAAGCTAAACTTTCCGATATATGACGTCGTTATTAATTCACATAAATTAATTATTTATTTAAGATAACTTAATATTTTGGCCCTCTCACGCTAACAATACAATGGAAAAACTCGATTAAAAGAAGACATATCAAGAGCATTGTCGGTGGGTGGCCCTCGAGCGATCTTAATCATACAAGAAGGGTCATCCTCTCCCTATTAAGAATAAGCCATGGCAAGGTTGTCACATAAACACTTATTTTTGGGCCAAAGCCAGAGAAAGGTTACTCGATGTGCCCCACCGTGGGGATGTGGAAAAAGGGTTGTTCTATTGTATACAGTAATGATAGTTGTGTATATCTTGCTTGTTTGAAGAATGAATGTATTTACTAGCGTGAATGTGTGATGTGAGAGGCTCAATGGAGAAATATAGAATACTCCACTACCCTAATTGAATTAATGGTATGTAGGAGTGAATGTATTCAAGAATGAACATAAGTACGAATGGGTTTGGAACTGCATGAGTTGGGTGCTGAATTGACCTAGTTGTTGACCCCCCCCCCCAGAACCCAGCCAAGGTGGTTGGGTGGATAAACGGGTAGATTCTCGAGTCTACTGGAAATTTACTGTA